AACCCACAGATAAGACAAACAAAGTAGGTGATAGCGAAATTTACGCTGGTTTCCCCTATTCCATCTCTTTCTCTCATACAGTCTCCAGGAAAGCGAAACAACGAAATGGATATATAACATATACAGTAAAATGAGATGAACTAACCTGCTGGATCTCCGTCCGATACTTGGCCAACTTATCCTTGTCCGACATGATGGCTGACTTTCCGCACCCAAGAGTCTAGAAATCATACAAGACGTGTCGCGCGATCAACAAAGTTCTATGGCACAGAAATTAGATTACAACAGGCGCTATGTTTGGCGGTGGGCGTGAATGAAGGCCAGGTTGCCGACGCGGTTTGCGGTCTGTTAGCGTGATCTCAAACGATGCTGGGCCTCATGCAACGACGCTAGGCCGAAACGGGTTCAGCCCTATAAGCCAAATGGGCCCCGCCAACTTTTTTATGAATTTGGCCGCATACCCCACCATCACCGATACTTTGTTCACTAAATAAGTCGAGAATTGCCGAAAATGCTGTACCTCGTGGGTCTCGGTCTGGCGGACGAGAAGGACATTACTGTCAAGGGTCTGGACATTGTGAAGAAGGCCGAACGCGTCTATCTCGAGGCATATACGGCGGTACTGCTAGTGGAGAAGGATGTGCTTGTGAGTTGAAGACGAAGTGAATAGACAAAGCGCTCGACATCTAATTATCACGGCAGTAGGAGGCATTTTATGGCCGCGAAGTCATCATTGCAGACCGTGAAATGGTCGAGTCTTCAAGCGATGATATCCTCAAGGACGCCGACAAGGTCGATGTCGCATTCCTAGTAGTAGGGGACCCATTCGGGTAAGGAGTTTCTCCTAGTAATCATTGGAATCATATTTAACATCATCATAGCGCGACCACGCATACGGACCTTGTCCTCCGTGCCCGCGAACTCTCCATTCCCACCCGTTCGATTCCCAACGCCAGCATTCTCACTTCCATTGGCACCACTGGCCTGCAACTCTACAACTTTGGACAAACCGTATCCATGGTCTTCTTCCTTGACAACTGGAAGCCCGCCTCCTTCTACGACCGCATAAAAGAAAATGTTTCCATCGGCTTGCACACGCTTGTGCTCCTGGATATCAAGGTCAAGGAACAGAGTCTGGAAAACATGGCCAGAGGACGCAAGATCTACGAGCCACCGCGGTACATGACAGTCGCACAGTGCGCGCAACAGATGCTGGAAATTGAAGAGGACGTAAAGCAGGAAGGTGCATACACAAAAGACAGTCTGGCTGTTGGTGTTGCGAGAGTAGGAGCAGAAGACCAGAAAATCGTTGCAGGAACACTAGAACAGCTTTGTGAAGCGGATCTAGGCAAGCCACTACACAGTCTGGTGCTGTTGGGCAAACGGACGCATGACCTCGAGAGGGATTTCCTCGAGGAGTTTGCTGTGGATAAGGAGAAGTTCAAGGAGATTTGGAAGAGGGATTATGAGGGAAAGTCATAGAGCAAGAGAAACAACGAGTTTCTCTGTGACATTGAATATATGCACCAGTATTTGCTAATATAAAACTGGTTTTCTGAGACATGGTAGCTCCTTTGGGCCAGCATACAGCAATTAAGCAAACCCCCAACAACGCTTTTTTACTGTATCGTACACAGCATCGCATCAAATCCACTTCTAGCATCATCCTTCTTCATCCATTTCTCCTCCTCCTTCCCCTGCTTCTTCCTCTCTCTGATGATTTTCTCTCTCTCATGTGGACTCGGTCCTCCGTGTTCTCGGCACTCAAAATCAATCCATCTATACTTGATAGCAGGCGCCGTACAAGTCTCGTCAGTCTTTCGTGCATTGCTGCATTCTTCCATGTATTCATCTGTGCAGGGAAGGCCGCCTTTGGGCCCATGCCCGTGGCCTTTACGCTTACAGCGTGTGTAGTGAGTTTGGTATCTTGTACACATTTCTGTGTGGTCGCAAGTGGTTGAACTGGTGACTGGAGAAGGCAAATTTAACAACAAGGTCATGTATATTACATATATATACGGGTGTATCATTGTGATGGTTTCTGAAGATGGAAGATAGAAACGTCTGTGAAGAGTTCCAGCCGCAAGGAGTGTGCGCATATGCAATCACCTCCCAACTCCTTCACTACGGCCGTTTTATGAATGCTCGTGTGTTGATTGTGCTTTTCAACTTTCTTTGTCCTAGATACATTCATGGTCGAAATCGTGGCTTTGCTTTGAAGTTTGCATTGCGATTTTCTTCTAATGGCGCGCCGCTACCACCAACGTAACATCATCCCCGCTCATTTTGTGCAGTAATTCTAAAATGTGTATGTGTTCAGGCTGACTCAGGCACGCCAAGTGCTCCGTCCAGATACGTAGAGGGGCCACAGTAGTACCACCAGAGCGATGCTATCTGACGTCATACTTAATCACCATTGGTTAATCGCGTGGTGTACCATGCTTCAGCTTCCATGACCTTCTTGCTTACACCCCTCAAGAACCCGACTATTCCGACTCGACGATTCAGCGGCATGTCAAAACCTAACATTGATATAACCAATCCCAGTTCCCCTGGTGCAAAGCTTCTTCAAGATATCTTTGACACACATACATCCCATATACCTTTACCTTTGGAAAGAAACAGCGGCACAGAATTGTATCGAATACACAGCGACAAAGAAGACAAGATGCAGGATGCAGCGTCGCAGAGTTATAGAACAGGCCTACAGCGGTCAAGTTCGAGACGCACAGCAAATGGATACATGCCCATTGAAGATTATGGGTTGATCGGGAACATGCGGACTTGTGCGATGGTTGCCATGGATGGCGGACTTGATTACATGTGCTGGCCACATTTTGACTCGCCATCCGTCTTCTGCCGTATTCTTGACAAAGAAAAGGGTGGCCACTTCACTATAGGCCCAACGAACGAGGACTTTTGTACTACGAAACAACAGTATCTTCCCGCGAGCAACATTCTCCAGACGCGCTACTTGAAGGAAGAGGGCGTCATGAATGTCGTGGATTTCTTTCCAAGGCCAAATGACAAGAATTGGGATGCCCAGTTCCATGCTAATGTCATCGCGAGTGAGCACAATGGCAATGTGCCCGAGCGTCCCGATTTGAAGAAGTGGCTTGTTAGGCGAGTGGAATGCATGCGAGGCACCGTTGGGGTGAGTGTACAGGTGTTTCCTGCTTTCAACTATGCTCGGGACAAGCACACTACCGAGATCACCGACCTGGGTAAGACTCCACAGGGACAGTGCCTACAGCGCGTGATCTTCAAGTCTAAAGATCTATCTCTGGAATTGAATGTGACCGTCGACTGTGGTGACGAACCGGAAGCATCATGTCCAAGAATTGCTTTTGAGAAGACACCCGAGCCCCAGAATTTGGGGGATGGGGTTACGGCTACTTTTACAATGACCGAGGGGCAGGCAGTGTCCTTCATTTTGCGCGATGCAGAAGACCACAGCCCAGACATAATTGAAACCAGCCAAGTTGTTGAGTTGCAACAGAGCACTCATAAGTATTGGGCTAGATGGACCCAGCAAAGCAAGTATGCGGGTAGATGGGAAGAGATTGTTACGAGGAGCCTGCTTCTCTTGAAGATGTTGACATTCGAGCCGAGTGGAGCAATTGTTGCTGCACCGACGTTCTCTTTGCCAGAAGACTTTGGGGGTATGTCGCCTCGAGAGATGATGAAACATGTACTGATATGGTGTAGGGTCACGTAATTGGGATTATCGCTACTCATGGGTGCGAGATGCGTCTTTTACGATATACATCTTTCTCAGAATGGGTTTTAGTCATGAAGCCGAAGCCTACGTCAGTTACATCTTCCAGCGCGTCAAGGAGGCCAAAGCACGCCACGGAGCGCTTCCAATCATGTTTAGTATCCATGGAGCAAGCGACTTACCCGAGGTTGAGCTTCCGCACTTGGAAGGCTACAGAGCAAGCCAACCAGTCCGTATTGGGAATGGAGCGGCCTCTCATATACAGCTTGACATCTACGGTGAACTGATGGATGGAATCTATCTTGTAAACAGATTCGGACGTCCAGTTTCTTACGATCAGTGGCTTTCAGTTCGGGAGATTGCAGATTACGTCTGCACCATCTGGAAGGAGCCAGACATGTCGATCTGGGAGGTTCGTGGCATGAAGCAGAACTTTGTGTATAGCAAGATGATGTTGTGGGTCGCGCTTGACCGAGCGTTGCGCCTTGCGGACAAGAGAAGCTTCCCGTGCCCACATCGGGCAGAGTGGTACAGAGTACGTGACGAGATTTACGAAGAGATCATGGAAAAGGGATACAACTCCGAGCTGGAGTGCTTCATCCAGAGCTACGAATCGAATGAAGTTCTGGATTCGGCTGTGTTAATAGCGCCTCTGGTCTTTTTTATAGCGCCAACGGACCCTCGCTTCCTGAAGACGCTTGACCGGATACTAAAACCTCCTGAGAAGGGAGGCTTAACTAGCACTGGCCTGGTATTCAGGTACAACCATGCGCTTAGTGATGACGGTGTAGGTGGACAGGAAGGCAGTTTTTCCATGTGCACTTTCTGGTTGGTCGAAGCACTCACACGAGTAAGTACTCCAGTTTCCTACGTAACCGCTCTTTTATTCGCGTGTATTTTTGTCTAATGAACACAGGCTGGAGCGTACGACAACAAGTATCTTTTGCAGGCTGTGACGATGTTTGAGAGCATGCTGGGTTTTGGAAATCATTTGCACATCTTCTCCGAGGAGATTGCGCGATCAGGGGAGCAGTTGGGCAACACTCCACAAGCATTTAGCCACTTGGCGTTGATATCTGCAGCATTCAATTTGAACAAGACGTTGAGCACCCGGCATCGGTAGAGGGGGCGGTGTCGAGGGTTGGCGGAAGACATAGACAGAGCGATGCAATGCAGTATTACTAGTCGATAGGAAACCGGGGCGAATTGGTCTAGACGTCTACGCTAATCTGGAGGAACCGTGATGATCAGCAATCAGTGCGTCATGGCTGCACTGTTCTCTATCTGGAATGAGATTCAATGTCGCTAAATTAACTAGGCCAGATATTTACTGCCGGACGCCCATGAGGGCGTGGCGCACACAACAGGTCGATCCCCTGACGGTGACACGCACACGCACAGTGCAGCGCACTGACTGGATAATCTCTTTCAACACATGTTCCAGTCTCGAATGCCTTCAAACTTCCAGCAAGCTGCTCCAACACATCGCCAGCAGGCCATGATCTAGCACACGTTTTCCCTTTCATTTCTATCCAATTTCCTGTCAACCATCAGCCAACTTGCCCTCTTCTTTCGGCCATCCCGCATCATCCGCACAACATCCGTAGCGTCGTCATCGTTTGCTCCACCAACGCGTTCCCTCTCAGGCAGTACCAGCATTAACACGCGACCATGTCGCTCCCATCCAACTCCTCAGCCGCGTCAAGTCTTGCTACAATTGACGAAAAGTACGAGATGAGTGCCCCGCGCAATGAAGATATGCTGGTTCGCGACTTTGGTTGGCCCTCAGTCTCTCCGCGATACCACGGCGACCACACACCCGAGAGCAACCCAGATTGGGATCACAACCCGCTCGAATGCGAAAAGGCGAAGCAAGAGGCTTTTGAAAGGATGGAAAGAAGCTACGCTTTATACATGGCGAACCTAGGGAAAAAAGTGCCTATGCCGAAGAAGAAGACTTCTTGGTCTAGGTTCCTACCTTGGGTGCGATAGAGATGGGCGACCTGGCGATGGTGCGCCTGCTTGCTGCGACGCTTGAAAAGTATGGATACCCGTTTGGCCGACCGATGCATATACATTGCAAGGAACAGTCACTGTTATACGAAAAGGGAATGTAAGACTTAATAAACGAGTAGGAGTGGGGACTGGGGCAGAGGGACAGTGCAGCACTGCCCCTACCCCAGGTACGGTTCGGAGGCTACTCGGTCTTGTAGTATGATAGAGCATACTGAGCCAAGGAAGATGCGGGGTTGGGGCGCAGCTTTGGCTTGTCTGGAAGTTGTTTTTGATACCCTTTTTCTTTGTCATTTCCTATGTTTTACAGAGTATTTGCGCGTCGTTTTGCAGCCTCTTCGGCGCATGTTGTTCTTGTATACCCCCGATTTAGATGTGTTCTTTCTGCGCTGGCACTGGAGCCACATAATTCTATGTAGCACACAATATATACATGGGACGTCCCGAGAAACACTATTCCCTTGTTGGTGACTTGCATGTTGGCCGCGGACTGAGTATGGCGGGGTTCACCTCGCTCTTGGGACGATCGGGAATTCTCTTCCAATCCACTATTGTGCAGCGGTTGACCATTTCCGGTCAAGGCATGAGCACAACTTGAAAGGGCTCCACTGCACAACGTGTCCAGTTTTTTCTCGGCGCAGCAATTTCAGAAGACTTGCATCTTGTGGATTGCTGATATTGGGGTAGTCTGCTTACATATTTCCGCTTCATTCCATTACCACTTGTCACAATCCAATCGTCATTTTTAGCTTGAACAAAGCATCCACCATGAGCTCTGCGCTAGAACAAAAGACTATGCGAGCGCAGCAATATGATGCGCGAGACAACAAGCTCCACCTCAATGAAGTACCTATCCCACAGCCCCGCGAGCATGAACTCCTCATCAAGATGCAATGTGCATCTCTCTGTCACTCTGATGTGATGCTTTTCGAGCCCAATGAACAAGGTCTTATTCTTGGCAAGAACCCTGTTACCATCGGCCACGAAGGCACAGGCAAGGTCGTTGCGACTGGGTCAGGAGAAGTAGCCAGGCAGTTCAAAGAGGGAGATGCAGTGGGTTTCCTCTGCGCCGTCGACTGCTGCTTCGAGTGCTATTCCTGCAAGAACGTCAGCAACGTCTGGTGTTCGACTGGGCAGACCAAGATACAGGGATTTAGTGCTGATGGGTATTTTGCAGAGTATGCAGTCGTGGATGCAAGAGAAGCCATCGTTTTGCCTGAGAATTGTCAGTTCATGTCCCGTTCAAGCAACACGGATTGGGGATGAGGAGATAAATGTGAGGGCGAGGCGCTAACTTGAACGTAACAGTGGATCCTAAAACATCCGCACCTCTTTTCTGCGCTGGTGTAACCGCATACCACGGCATCGCAGATTGCGAGTTACCTGCTGGGTCCTGGCTTGCAGTCATCGGCTGTGGTGGTCTCGGGCACATGGGTATCCAGTATGCCAAGGCCATGGGCCACAAAGTCATTGGCATTGATATTACCGACGTGGCTATAGAAGAAGCAAAGAGTTGCGGTGCAGATTACACCTTCAATTCCATGACGGACAAGGATTACAAGAAGAAGATACTGGAGCTCACAGGCGGCGGTGTACATGCGGCAGTCAACTTCACGGCGGCCAAGAAGTCGTATGATGACTGCCCGGCAATAGTTAAGCCTGGTGAGGGTATGATTATGGTAGTAGGTATTCCCCAGCAGCCACTTGAATTCAATGGCCTGGATATTGCGATGGGTCGTTACAAAGTCAAGGGATCGAACAATGGAAGTAAGTCAAGCCTGTCTTCCTTTTTTTCTGTTCGAGACTAGATAATGGAAGCTGACTAAGATACAGCATGTTACAACATGAGGGAAGTGATTGAGTTTTCTGCAAAACATAACATCAAGGCGCACTTGACAGCGTTCCCGCTGGAAGAGGTACCCAAAATGGTCGAGCTGATGAACTCACACCAAGCAAAGGGACGCATGGGTGTAATTTTTGATTAGAACGCGGGCAGTTGAGGATCCAAGAGGAACTATGGGGTAGCAAGAACTAGATACAATAGTAACAAGGCCGGATTTGGACTTGTAGTAAAGACAAGCATGCACTGGTGTGGCTTTGGCCTAAGTGTTACCCGGGCAACGCTAGGCGATGAGGGAAAGCGCGCCCCCCCTAGCGTGCATTTACACATGCGCTGCCCCGCCGCCGGCCCTGAAACATATGCACAACCAACAACACCCACGCCAGGTAGGAACTTTTGATTCTCCCGCCCGCAATTCTTGATACCCCCCCTTTTTCTCTTTTTCTTTGTGATACCCTCCCTTTTGCCGGCACTATGGGTTCCGACGACCTCATCGACTTCGAGGTGATTGAAAACCAGAAGGAAAACATACAGTCGCTCCCCAGCGGCCGCTCCGCCAAAGCCCTCGCCCAACTATACACACCGCCACTGACATCGGCCGCCGGCCAAGCCCCCTCACCGTCGCAGATGCAAGATGCCAACAGCGCGACTCGGTTGCAGTATGAGAAGGAGCTCATGGCCATTGACGACTCGGACGACCCCCTCGATGTTTACGATCGCTATGTCAAGTGGACCCTGGACGCATACCCTTCAGCCCAGAACACACCCCAGTCGCAGCTCTGCCCATTGCTCGAGCGTGCAACAAAGACTTTCCAGTCGTCGCCGCAATATAAAAACGACGCCCGCTATCTCAAGCTCTGGCTCCACTACATCCATCTCTTCTCAGATGCGCCCCGCGAAACCTTTGCATACCTCGCCCGACACCACATTGGCGAGGAGCTTGCGCTGTACTATGAAGAGTTTGCCGCCTGGCTAGAGTCTGCAGGCCGCTATGCACAAGCAGAGGAAGTGTACAACATGGGCATTGAGCGCGGGGCCCGCCCAACAGAGCGCTTGATTCGCAAGTATGGTGAGTTCCAGCACCGATGCGAGAGCCGACCGCAACAAGCAGAGGAGCCTACAAGCCCGGCGTTGCCCGCTGTCCGCCCAGCGCTCGCGGCCAAGGTAGACCCGTTTGCCCTTGCCTCACCAAGCGCTCCTGCCCCACAAGCGCAGGCTCAGCCAAAGCCCGCTGCAGGTACATCGCGCTCAGGAAAAGCCAAGCTCGCCATTTTCGCAGATGGTGATGATGCGGCAAAGCCCACCTCGAGTGGCAGCACTGAAGGTTGGGGCAACATTGGATCGCTGGCGGATCGCAAAAAGGAGAACGCACAAGAGGCACGGCCTTGGGCTGGCGAGACTCTGAAGGTTGGAAAGAAGAATACGGGCGTTCCCAAAATGGCAATCTTCAAGGATGAGGTGAGTTGAGCTACCTCCGTCGGCCCCTTCACATATTTACGATTACAGGACTAATTGGTGGGCGTTTTGCCATTCATGTATTCAGAGCAAATCAAATCTCAATGACGAAAACGTCAACTCTCATCCATTACGTGAATACCAACAAGCTGTCAATCCAAGGACAGGACGGCTCGAGGTCGTCTTTGTCGATTTGGAGAAAGTGTATCCTAACCATGAAGACCCAATGTCTGAAGAGTACTCTTTTGAGGAATTGCGAGCTAAACACAGGGGGTGGCTGGATCGTGATTGGGCTGCCATGCGAAGACAAGAAGAGCAGGCAAGAAAAGATGCCGAAGCGGCACTTGCTGCTGCTCAAACAAAACCCAAGGCCATGCCTTTAGCACCCAAGCAAGAACCTGAACCAATTGCTAAGCCTCAAACAGTACCGTTGAAAGGAAGTGTTGACGATGACATGGGTAATGACGAAAATGCACCACCCTCGCAGGCCGATGTAGACAAAGCGAAGGCAGTGAAAAAGGCCAGACGTGAAGAGCGTGCCAACAGGACTAGAAAGATCAAAGTCATGGAAACCAAGGAGATCCGCGGAGAAACGCAAACGAGTAAGTAGTGGCGGTCTATCAGGTATGTATTATACTGACATTGCATAGTCCAAGCCAATCTGGATTCTCCTGCAAAGTCCAAGATGCGACGGAAAAAGGCCGGCCCCGAGATGACTATGACACTTCACACCAAGGAAGCGATGGATGAGATCTACGATATTTTCAATGAGCCGCTGAAGAATGCTGATGATAATGCTTCTGAAGTCCAGAGCGGTGAGGAAAGTAGCGAGGATGACGAAGATGATTATTCTAGTGGCGCCGAGAGCACAGGGACTGGCCGTATATCCGGCGCTACAAGTGAATATGGAGACGAGACGACAGTTGGAGGTGACTTTACGCTCGGCACTAGGATCCTAAACCATGACGACGACGACGATGGTGATGACAACGATGAGAGCGGTTCAGACGATACAGATGCAAAGAGCGTATCGGAGTCGTCTGACTTTACCGAGATCAAACCTGGACAAAAGGATGACGAGCAAGATCAGTCTGAGAATGAGTCTGAGCATTCTGGTCAATCTCAAGATGATTCCTTTGATGAAACATCAAACGTAGATGGCGAATCGGAGCACCAACAGGACGAGCGGGTCGTCACTCCTACATCGCCTTCAGGACCAAGATCTCTCCCAACGCGCTTCGTCCCTGTCCCACCTGAAGACTACAACCCTGCTATGCGACCATATAGAGATCCAGTCGTCGTTGCCAACAACCGGCTACCCTTCATGACTCCGATTGTGGAAAAGACTGAGTCGTCTCTGGGCATTGCCACGGCTGTAGCGCAGAAGGAGTATTATGCAGCCAAAACACCTTCGCGGTCAAAGGGTACGCCTGCTATCATGGAAGATGATGATGAGGAGCCCTGCAGTAGCCCCTTCTCTGATATTCTGGGACAAGTCATTGACGGGCCAGGTAAAGTTGCAAAGCTAGCTCTGACCGATTCAAAACCAGTGCCCAAAGAGCCCCTAGACGAGCCGCAGCGCAAGCCATTGGCCGCAAAAGAGCCTCCAGTTACAGTGGCCAGGCCTAGTGGACCGATCATCAAGGACACACAGTGCAACCCAGTTGATGATAGTATCCGTAAGACTATTCTACAAGAAACCCAACCTCCTTTGGAAAGCTACGAGGGTTACTACGCCGACACGGAGCAAAGCTATGGAAAAGGCGCGGATATTCGCAAGTATACAAAAGCAGTATCAAAACTGAGCAAGAATGCGCAGGACAAGACGGCAGCCAATGTCGGGGCATGTCCTACTTTGGAGTTTCCTGGGACAGAGCGGACTTATGTTGTTAAACGTGAGCTTGGAAAGGGTGCATTTGCTCCAGTGTACCTGGTGGAGAGCAAAGAAGCAGAAAATGACGAGAACAAGCCTTCACAAATGGGCAAGGGTGAGTTTGGTCCGAAGCGTCAACATCTGGAGGCAATCAAGATGGAAGATCCGCCAACACCGTGGGAATTCTACATTATGCGGCAGGCCAAACGACGACTAGGTGTGTCACGAGCAGCTGAGTCAGTTGTCAGTGCATACGAGATGCACGTGTTCAAGGATGAGTGCTATCTGGTTGAAGAGTATCGCGATCAAGGAACACTGCTCGACTTGGTCAACCATGCTCGCGCAGACAATGGGGCAATGGACGAACAGCTAGCCATGTTCTTCACCATTGAACTATTCCGTACAGTGGAGGCTCTGCACTCCAAGGGCATAATACATGGCGATCTCAAGTCGGATAATGTTCTGGTACGGTTCGACGCACTCCAGAAGGATGAGCACTGGGATTCCGAGTACAAGCGCGACGGGCGTGACGGGTGGTCTGCAAAGGGCATCTCACTGATTGACTTTGGTCGAGGCATCGACATGAAAGCCTTTAAGCCCGAAGTGCAGTTTATCGCAGACTGGCCAACGACCGAGGCCGACTGCGCCGAGATGCGTGAGCTGCGGCCTTGGACTCACCAAATCGACTACCACGGTCTCGCTGGCATTGTGCACAATCTCCTGTTTGGAAAGTACATTTCGGCAGTTGCTGAACGAGGGGCTACTCTGGGCTCAGGTGCAACCAAGACGTACAAGATCAAGGAGAACTTGAAGCGATACTGGCAGACTGAGATTTGGCACGAGTGCTTTGACTTGTTGCTGAACCCGCTGATGCATCTTGAGGGCGAGGAGGGAAGGCGGCTGCCGGTGCTCAAGGGGATGAAGGAGTTGAGGGAGAAGATGGAGGAGTATCTTGAGAACAACTGCGAGAAGGGTGTTGGTCTCAAGGTGCTCGTGAGGCGGATGGAGGAAGTTGTGAAGCGGAGATAAGGATTACGATTGTGGAGTTTGGGGGTTTGCATTGGTTGGAGTTGTTTGACATGACTAGACGTACGTGATACCTCCATGAGCAATGATTTTATATCCCTTTTTTTGTTAGACTCGCATCTCGTAGGAAAAGAGAATTGAATTCGAGCATTTCAGGTGTTGTGTTGCGTGGCTCTTGGTTGATTTGATATGATGCAAGTGCGGTGCCCAGCGGGGAGTAGTACTCTGGTGTTTGCGTCCGTGCATAGCGTGGGTGCCTTGAGCTTGCGGGGAGCTTGTACACCTCCGGCTTCTGTACTATTGGGTACACTGCATACAATTGTCCCACTGCCACTTCTTCTCTTGACATCCGGCTTGTTTGCTTTGTGTATGCAAGCAGCGACAATAAGCTTACTTACAACCGAAGGCGACACTCTGTACCTCAGGATATTGGAAGATAGAAGAAGAGTGAGAGAGCATCTACCCACCCCCACATCATCATCATCGCCGCCCGCCGCCTCAGCTACTCGCTCGATCACGCAGACCACTCGACCCCACTGCGACCATGTCGGCCGACCTAAGCAGCTTGCTGTTGTCTTTTCAGCCTGACAGTCCCGATGTTGAAAAGAGGCGGGATTACGACCTCAAGGCCCGCAGCTTTGTCGCACAATTGTCCAACGTCTCTGCACCACATTGGGCAAAAGGCGCGGATACACCACAAGATGTGCTTGTAGTGGGTATGCTTCCGGGCACTTGGTTGAAACTTGCTAACGTTGTAGACACTCAACCCGGCTGTCAACTCAATGGCATACGCCTTTGCCCTCCGCAACCGTATCGCCGCCCTGCTGGAGAAGAAGAGCGTACCCGAGGCGCTACAGCCTGGAGGTGATTTGTGGAACAAGACGGTGTTGTTTTTCGAAACTGCGGATCCTATACAGCTGCGCTACGTGGGGAAAGAGTGGAAGAATCTGATTGAGTACACAGAGGAGATAGCACGTGGGTGTGGATCAGTAGGTTCAAGTTGGCGTGGCTGGCACGAGGAGAAGAAGCTGACCATGTCCAGCCGAGCCTTGCTATTGCGCCAATACGGTCGGCCATGATGCGACTTGACCCTACCACGGGCACCTTCACCTCGGTCCACGTCAGTTTCATACATCTATGTCTAGAGACGCGATCGTACGCAGCCGCTGAACCCATCCTGGACAATTACATCCACACACTCCCCCCCAAGATGCCAAGCGCGGTTCGTGAGGGACTAGAGTACTCTGTTCCGTGTGCAGATGTAGCGAGTAGTGGGGAGTACATCCACCAGAACTCTGGCCATACGGACCGGGTTGGGTTGACGGATATACAAGAGTACTATGTTCTGGGCGCCATGGCGTACCTAGGCCTGGGGCGCTTCAAAAAGGCGCAACAGTTTCTTGAGCACGTGCTGGTTGTTCCGTCTGCCAACACGGCCAACGGGCTCATGTTGGAGGCTTACAAAAAGTGGGTACTAGTGAACTGTCTGGTAGGGGGAAAGGTATGTTATGGGGGGAAAGAGAGACAAGAGCAAGCGCCGGCTGACGCGGACAGATTGGGAGTATTCCACGGACAGCGAATGCTAGCGCGATGAAGAACATCAAGGCTGCATCCAAGGGATACGAGGCGCTGGCGGATGCGTACGAAGAGCTGGACAAGATGCCGAAGCTGAAGGCTCAGGCACAAGCGGGTGGGGAGATATGGGCAGAGGTAAGAGCGATGCAGGTGATTGTTGCGACACATGGGTTGAAAGGGCGGGATAGCATGTTTTGATGGAGGGCTGACGAGAGCATGTAGGATGGCAATGCGGGCCTAGTCCGGGAGCTTATCAGTAGCCAGACGAGGACGTATGTTTCACGGCTGTCACGGACATACTCTGCGATTCCAGTGTCTAGTATTGCGAGACAACTGGGGGCTACGGGGGAGGAGATGTCGCAGTATATTGAGGGGCTGATCAGGGACGGGCAGCTGAACGGGCGGTTGGAGGAGAGTGACAAGCCGGGAGCTGGGGTGGTATTACGGTTCTACCTGGACGCGAAACAGGGACCCTTGGCCAAGAGCGAGAAGGAGCAGCAGCAGGCGCTATTTGCGCAAACGGTCCGCACAAACAAGCTTGCGGAGCAGGTCAAGGATGCCGACTACCGGATGACGCTAAGCAAGGAGTACATTGAGAACCAGAAGCGGGTGAACAAGAGGCAGGGCAACAACGGGGAGGCCATGGACACTGCGTGGGACGATAGTCTGGAGGCGGAGGAGGACATGATGGCGGATCTGCACTGAAGACGAGGTAGAGGCGGGTGGTTGTCTAGGGGAGGATGGGAGCGTTGCGAGGGCTGGTGGCCAAGGGGCTGGTGAGGGTAAGGCATGAAATAGGTAGCGTGTGTATGACAGCAAAGAGGCAGGCAGGATTAGTAGGGGTTAGCATGGGGGGATGACGATGAGCACGGAAACAGCAGATGGAGCAAAGACAAGGATGAGCCAATCGAGTCGAGATTCGGTGCATGTCGCATTGGCCTGGTGACGAAGCAGAAGCAGCAGCAGGAGCCGCATCGGGGACGACGGAGTGTTTGTGGGAGGGGAGGTTGCTTTTGCGGCGGCATGCTTTTGGCGTCGGCGGCGTCGAGTGGGCCCTCCCCCTTTGGTCCCAGTGGGTGCGGACCAGAAAGGCTGGACAAGCGGGCGCGAGAGATTGCAGCCGTATGGGTGAACACGAGGCGGGCGTCAGCGCCGGGCTGGAGGACAAGGCGCAGGCTTCCAGAATACGGGGCGGCCATGGTGGGCGGATTTGCAGGGTCTGGCGGGCGAGGAGAGGAGCGGTCCCAGAGGGGTGAGGGCAGCGACAAGTCGAGCGACAAGTCGAGCGACATGGGCCTGCGCTAGGCCGGCTTGGGCCCGCCCACCCCTGACAGCCCGACCAATACGACTTGGCGCCATGTGGCCCGCCGTCGCCGCTCCACACAGGCGGCGTGTGAGGCAGCGAGCGTGGCTAGGGGCCTCGTGCTGCACCACTTGCACTGACTGCCGGCGAGACGAGGCCGGCGAGAGACGCTCCCACTCCCACATGCCCACCCGCTGCATACATTCACCCACACCCACGCCCTCGCCCACGCCCTCGCCCTCGCCCTCGCCCTCGCCCTCGCCCTCGCCCTCGCCCTCGCGCCCCCGCCCCCTCTGCCTCTCGCGCCCTGCCCGCCTCCGTCTCTGCACGCCCAGAGCGCGTTCCTGCTTGGCCAACCATGCCCGCATCCGCCGTGCATTAACCGCTGGCTCGGCCTGAGACACGCACCCAGCTGCTCCATTTCTCCACCATGAACCCCCAGGGCGAGCCCGCCGCCACAGCAGCAGAGGCGCGCGCAGAACCGCTGCCCGCAACAGGCGAGCGGCTGTCGTTGCAGTCGTCGTCGTCGGTGGGAGCGGTCAAGCGGTCAGCCTCGCTCAAGGACGCCGCCCACCCTCACCCGCACACCTCGCCCAAACCCCACAGCCGGGCCACACCGCCCTCTTCGGCTTCTTCCAGGCGACGGTCGAGCGCAGCCAACGGTGCAGCAGAGGCAATTGCCCTGCTGGCCGACCATGAGGGGAAGTCGCACCATCAGCCCTACCACCACCACCACCACCACCACCACCACCAACTCCATCACCACCAGCCAAGCTACTCGCGCAGGCTAAGCGTCACCTCTACCACCGGCCCTGCCAATGGCCCCCTACCACTCCCGCACGACGACTCCCGCATCCATTCCTCGCCGCCCGCCCGCCCAAGCAAGCTGCACAACTCCAACGCCCGCTCGCCCACCTCCAGTCCCCGCCGCTCCCGCCCTCGCTCCCCGGCCCACGACCCCCCGCCCACAGGCACCGCACCCCCCAGGCTGCCCAAACTGCCCCCCGTCCTGCTGCCCTCGACCGTCTACGACCCAAACACGCCCACCTCGAGCTCTGCCGCAGACTCGCCCTCCCAAGCCAGCCTCTTTGCCCCCAACCTGCAGTCCGTGAATGCCCCGCGAGACTACTTCAACTCCAAACCCACTCCACCCCAGCCCCCTGTCCAGCGCCCCCCCTCTCGCACCAGAGTCGACAAGGTCCTGGCCAAATCCCCCCTCGCCTCGCCCGCCATCCTCAACGAGGCTGACCCCAGGCACGACTCTGCGTCGGCCCCAGGCCGGCCGTCGACAGCACGGCGGCCCTCAGTCGCTGCTGCTGCAGTCGTCGCCGCCGCCGCCGCCGCCGCCGCCGCCACCCCTTTGGGCCACAGGCACACAGCATCACGCCAACACGCGGCGAGCCACAGCAAAGACCATTCCCGGACCGCAAGCCGAACCCACGCCACGAGTCCAAGCCGGGATCACAATCGCAGCGAAAGCAACACCAGCGCAAAATTGGACGACCACTATCAAGGCACCCCGCCCCGCACCCGCGAGCGGAGGGAAAAGGACAAAAAAACAATGTTGTCGCGGGCGCTGCAAAAGGCAAACACGGCCGTCCTGCTCGACAATGCCCAGAACTTCGAGGGCGCCATGGAGGCGTACGAGGACGCATGCAAGCTCCTGCAGCAGGTCATGGTCCGCAGCTCCCAGGAGGAGGACAGGCGCAAGCTGGACGCCATTCGTGTAACATATACCAACCGGATAGAAGAGCTCCGTCGACTCGACCCTGCCTATACCCATGGCAGCGGCAAGTCACTGCCCGCTCGCCCTATGAGTGGGGAATCGCTGGACGAACACCGCTCAATGCTCTTACTAGAGGACGACGACGAAGAGCCTGCTGTAATACAAACTGCTTCTGTTTCTCGAATCGTAAACGACGCCTCGGTGTACGAAAACTCTTTCGCCCGCGAACCAGAACAACCCCCTTGTCACCAACTGCCCCTGCGCAGCGACTACCAAGGTCCCCGCGAGTCGGTCATCTCAACTGCCATCCGCGATGTGCAAAAAGGCATGCAAAACTCGCAATTCAGTCTCCAGCCACCGCCTGCCAGACTTGGGCCTTCGGCTACTTCTGGTCGCTCTTCGGCTGCCGAATCAGCAATGGATCGCACATATATGCCCCCGCCCCTCTCGCCAAGGAGATCAAAATCACCCCTATTCGACAGCCAGAGTGAATCCAGATCCGACGAGCCCGGCCGGTTGTTGCAACCGCAGCAGACACTAGAGACGCACCATCGGCGAGCCCACAGCAACGAATCTACCTCATGGCTTGACACCATAGACGAATCCGGAGGTTCTTCGTGCTCCTCTTCGGTGCACTCCATGTCCCCGGGAGGGCCACGCCGAAAACACCTACGGAACCCAAGCGGCGAGACCGAAGCAGAGTTTGACGCGGCGCTCGATGCTGCCGTTGAAGCTGCGTACGATGACGGTTACGAACCTTATGATGACGACATGTCCACGCCAGCCGATCTAATATCGGCCAAGATGCGAAACGTGGAAATGGCCAAGGAGCGCGTACGGGAAGCAGAACGCGAAGAGGCTATTGCAGCGGCCAAGTATCGTTACAAAGAAAACCAAGTCCGCAATGAGGCACTACCACACGTCCGCGAGACTGCCGAAATTACCTTCAACGATGAGGCGGAAGAGGAGGAAAGGCTACTCGACGAGATGACCAGAGAGTACATGTTGGATGGTTTCGATTTCGACTTGCAAACAAAATCAGCGCTGCCACGGCAATCAGACTCGAGCAACTTTTCTGCAAGCACGCACAACAGTTCAGTCTCCTCGCACAGGACGACAGGCGGAACGTCGCTCTCAACCGTCACTGAAGTGGCCCATCCGCCATCCAAACCACCGCCAGTACACTCGCCTCCCGCAGTCCCTGCTCCGTCTGGTGCTCTGCCTGCACTGCCGCCAGTTCTCGAGTCACAAGCATCCAATACGACCGATGCAGCAGAGGTTACGCCCCGACCCAATACCGCAACCAAGGATGCCGCTTCTGTGCGAAGCCGCAGATTATCAGGGCAAAATGCTAAATCGCTCAAGATCGAGACATCTGTGCTCAATATTCCGCCCGCACCACATACGGAGAAACCGCCCGTACCAGCAAAGGACGTGCCCGTTGATCTTCCTGCGCAACCAAAGTCTGCCGCTGCTGCATCATTTAGCACTAGCAAGCCTTCGCTGGATTCGACATTCAAATTGCCCGCACTGCCGCAAATCGCCCAACAGAGCAATCTTGCCGCTCCTTCGCCACAGCCCGCACTGTACAGTCCTTCTGAGAATGGTCCTAGTCCGTCGCCAATGCTACACAGTGTCTCAAGCGAGCCTGGCCTTGTGCCAGGTTCCCCCAAAACCGGAAAAACCCCAGCCTTGGGTATTAGAAAAAACAAGTCTTCACTTAGCTTGAAGCAGCGGAATCTGTCCATGTCTAGCCCAGATGGCTCAGACGTATCCATTGGAACGCCGCTCAGCACAACCTTTTCCGTCACCGGACGGAAACCCAGCAACGCCGGACTGCCCATCCCGACTCCTAGCCTTCCCACGTTTAACATTGATGGCCTGCCAAGCGGCGGCATGCATTTATTCGAGAGTGATATTCACTCGCCCTTTTCGCCTGGTTCGCCTAGTCCAGCAATTACAAATGCACCCATTCCACTGGAGCCATGTCCGGACTCGTATCTGCTGAGGCCATTTTGGTTGATGCGATGCTTCTATCAGACTATCGCGCACCCTCGTGGTGGTTATCTCTCAACAAAGCTTTTCATTCCTCGCGATGTATGGCGCGTCAAGGGTGTCAAACTAAAGAACGTTGAAGACAAGATTGCCAACTGCGACATGCTCACAGCGGCTCTGCAGAAGCTAGCTGCTGTCGACACAAACGATGCGGATGCCGTGCTGGAAGAGATGCAGTCTCTCGAACTAGTGCTTGACCAGGTGCAGGCTCAACTAGCCAAGAAGCTCGGTAACGAAGTTGGTATCCAATCTGTATCAATTCTCTTCAAAGATGCAACTACCGTGGGCGAAGGCGCAGCATCTGCAGACGGCTTTTCCAAGGGGCCAACAACTAACCAAGATTTTGTACCCAAGGGTGCTGTTGCCCAGGGCAAGTCGTACCTGGCGTCATGGCGCAAACTGCGGTCCAAGAACTCTGGTGTCAATCTCGCTAACATGGTTACCGGTACCACGAGGAGTACAGAGGTGCCCAAGGATACGCTTCTCATGGCCACCCTTCCCATGACGAGTTTGACAAGCATACGTTTTGCAAAGCGCGACATTTCGGGCATGAACTTTGAGGGCCCCAATGCAGGATATATGGGATCTTTGGCGCGCTTGTTTGATGCAGTTCAGATACTGGGTAAGTCTAATTTTTTTTGCTTTTTTCCCCTTCTCTATGCTCTGCAATGGTTTACTAACTGCATGGTTTCTTGTAGATCAAATTGCGCGTCAAGTCGAAGACCCAGGTCTCAAGCACTCTTCACCCACTCACGTTGGACTCGAACTGTCAACTCGCCATGCCGCAGAGTTCTTTGGCTTTTATATCTGTCGGTTTGTCCTTTCCGATGTCACACTTATGCTGGACAAGTTTATCAAGAGAGGGAGTGAATGGGTTTTGGTTTAAGAAGTGTTTGTGTGTGTGTGAGAGAGAGAGTGTGTGAGAGAGTGTGTGAGAGAGAGTGTGTGAGAGAGAGTGTGTGAGAGAGAGTGTGTGAGTGTGAGAGAGTGAGAGAAAGAAAGAGGCTTGCAAGGAGAGGACAAACTTACCTCCTTGTCCCCCTTCGCGCGTTCCTCCCCTTCCCATCATTGGAGGTGATGGTCGATGGTCGATTTCTTTGAACGTTGAAACCGTAATGAGAAAGAAGAGCATGTCACAATGCATCTAGTGCGTCTCCATTCATGTGTAATTATTCGCCTTAATCAGGTGTATTCTTACTCTTTTATTTTTATTTTTACTTTTTCTTTTCTCCTCTCTCTCTCTCTCTCTCTCTATCTTCTCCATATTTCTTTCATCTTCATCCTCCTCCTCTTCTTCTTCTTCTTCTTTCCAACCTCTCGACAAACCATTGTCGTATCAGGGCCAACCGGACTGCGCCCATTGATTTACTTACTTTACTTCCTTTTTTTTTCCCCGCCGTTTAGAAACTTTTCAACACAAAACGTCCCTTTTTTTGGGGGGGGAGGAGGGTTCTAATACGTCCTCGGGTGTCTCCTCGTACTAGTCTTGCCCTTTCTCCTTGTTCCTTACTACATCTTTTTTTTTTTGCAGGGGATCTAGAAGGATTTTGGTGCCAAGGGTAGGAAAAAGAGAGAGAAAGGAGGTGGNCGAGAGTAACGAAAATATGGGCATGGGATGGGGCATCAAGGGTAGGGAGGGTTGCTAAGTATTGGGTCATTCTTCTTCATTGTCTTCGTCTTCTCTGACTTTTTTTTTTTTGGGGGGGGGGGTTTCTTGGTCATGAGGTTATGGATTGCGTTTCTTGCTTTATTTCTTGTCTCTTTTTTTTTCTCTTTCCTCTTCTTTTGAATTTGGGCTTTTTTGCTCTTTCGCAACTTGGCACTTGAAACTTGCTGTTTGTTTGTCTCCATTTTCTGATGGATTGATTTCTTGTCTCGATCCGTTTTGCCTTTTTGGTTGTTTCTTGCACGTCTCTTTGAAGATATCCCAACCCCCTTTGTTTTGTCTTATCATACGTTAGCTTAGCTTAGCTGCACTTGTTTGCAAATATCCATCTATCTCTATTGCCATTGTTGATCTGTTCCTTGAGTTGAAATATTTTCTGATCATGGAAAAGTTTGGTGGAAAAAAAAAGGTTGATTTTTCATGTAGTAGGTGAAGAGGAAGAGCTACTACCTGACGGACTATTTACGGACAAGAGGGGGCAGGGGAGATGGAGTAAAATACACACATAGATTATAGTATGTTCTCAAACAATCATTGGCTATGTCACTCGCTTCGCGGATTGGGTTTCACTCCTATTCCAAAGCTCCTGGTGCGTGTAGAATCTCCCGTTCTCAGGCTGTGGTCTTTTCAATTGACCTCTTGCTGTCAACGCCTTGCTGCTCGGCAGAGTCTCAGATAGCTCGGCAGAAGCATCGTCACCCTCGCCGCTTGGTAGATTGAGTGGGCGACCCCATGCTGCTTGTGCACTTTCTAGACCACTGCTTGCGCGAATTGTACGTAGTACCGCTAGAGAAGTGATGAGGTTGGCTTTTAGCATCGCTATTTGGAATACCGTAAGAGTCAGCTGCAGGCTGCTAATGGCGTCGCTGACGGGAGCGTTCATTTCACTGTGGAACCTACGTCCGAGTGCCGTCAGGTTGTTGCTCAGGTTGGGAATTGACTGGACGTATTCGAGGTATGGCTTGGTGAGATCGCTTGTTACGTTACCGAACGTGAGTGTTGCAGTAGGAAGGACGGTTGGAGTGATCCCGCTCGCGTTCAGTGAGAGTGTAGGTGTCGTCGTGTTTGAAGGTGACGTAGAGTTGATGGCAACGGAGACATTGACCGTGTTTACAGCAGTGAGCCATTCGGTCTGGGGTTCTGGCTGTCAACTTCGAGTTCGTATCGAGACATGAAACGTATGGTGAAAACACACCTTGTTTGTGTCGAGCTGAAACTTTCCTCTCAGGATAGTGCTGGTGATATTGTTCACGAGATCGGCAGTGTCCATTGAGTTACTGCCAACCAGGCTGCTGAAACCGAAGCCAAAGACTGCGTTATCGGGGCCCCCAATAGAATTCGCCGCCGCATTGATCATGCTCCTTAGATCAGCGAGGTCCTGTACAGCCGGTGCGATGGCTGCCGCAGCGATTGGAATGAGAACAAGGCTGGCTACCAGCATAACGTAGAGTTCGTCGGATAGGCAAGCGGGGCGAGGTTGTCAAGTTATCAATATAGCTAGTAAATATGATAACTGACAACTACTAGGTGGGATTGTCAAGAGAATGATAAGGGAGATGGCTTCAAGCTAAGTGTGTTGTGGATGATAGTGAGGCAATCAGTAGCTACATAGTGTAGACGATGGAAGTCACGATGACCACTGTAAACACGGGCAGCGCCTTCGTGCTTGCAACATCAGTATACTAGAGATGCCCACTTCCTGCCTGTTCCTCTTCCCTTGTATGTTGCCTCTGCAGTCAAACTATGCATCAGTCTTATTTGTATCTCCAACGTCTATTTTCTCTAGCCCTGCATTTCGGCCACCATCTCCACTTCGACTACCGCACACTATCTCTGCAAATACAGTTGACCAAGGAAAGCTTGAGCTTCATAAAACAGCTGGCTTGTGCGAGAACAGTGCGTTTTTGCTTGAGTCGTAGCTCCCTCTTTTATTCATCCATCTGACTTGGCATAAATAAATTGAGTTATTGAATCAGCACTCGTCAATATCAAACTAGGGCATGATAGTAACGCGTTTCTGAAACAGAATGTAGAGTGCTTATTCCATGCCGAATTCTGGTTGTTGAGTATTGCAACCGTGCTCCACCAAAGATAGTACCTGGTAAAAGGTAGTTGAGCATAGACATGGTTGGTGTCAAAGCTTGCCTTTGGCCTCAAGACATTATCATAGAGCTATGACACATGCACATTGACTGAAATTTGAATATATAGATACCTTTCGACTACCACATTGAGTAGGAGCCTCCTGCAGCGATGGGTTCTGGTCAAACATTGAACACATCTACCATATGGCTCTTATTTTGCCAGCAAGTGGATGCTGAAACATTGCGTAATTAGAAACAAACCGAAAATGAGAGAATAACATAGCCTCCAGCAAGGTTCTGTGCAGTACTTCCAAAGTACTGTTTCCATGCCAGATATGGATACAAAGTCTGCTGAACCTGCTCGGGAATTTTGCATGTTCAGCGAGTATGACCAGAGCCATAGATCCTGGCTGTCAAACTATCCAAAGTGTCTGTTTCCTAGCGGATGGCAGTGCACCATAGCTATGCAGTATAAACAAACGACTGCACACCTATCGAACTCTGACCCCTATCCACCCCAGTTTGCCATTCGCCTATGACGTGTAATGATCATCATGAGCAGTCCGTATATTCGTCAAATTTAGAAACTTTGATGTCCCAGGACTAGAGATCCATGCTATCATTCCTGGATCGCGAACCGCCATTAGCCTTCTCATATGCTCTCCACCACAGCGCCATGTTGGCCGCTACTAGCAAGTCCATCATTTTCAGGCCTTCGTCCTCAAGAATAATCTTTCCAAGTTTTGCCTGCTTGCCGCCCATACCTCCTCCTGCAAACTCCTGTCCAAGAGAGAGATCCATGCGGTCTTCATTATTTTCCTCTACATTAATAGATGCTATGGAGTTATTGCGAGAATGGCGACCTCGGCGAAAGAAGGAAGACCGCTTAGATGCTTCAGCTCCTCTAGCTGCGGATCTCTTAGGGCCACTGGGGAGGTTAAACCTGAGCTCGCTCAAACTCGCACTTGAGATTGGTGCTCCTTGAAGTCCGGGAATGATGTGGCGACACTAGTAGATCAATTAGTCTCTTTGATATTAATGTGACAGAGCTGGGATAGCTACCTTGAGGGACCCTCCGCCCACGCCGGTAACAAACTCGCAGCGCCCATTCCATGGGCTTGTGAAGACATAGCCACGGAAACTTGTTTGTCTTTCAGAAACTTGAATGTTGCCATGTGCCTGATCGTCATGCGCCTGGAATGAAGGTGAGAACGGAGAGCGCAGGTCCATCGACGGTCTCTCAGCCTGTCCAGTATAGCTACCTTTGGAACTAGGCCGAGCGTAATTGGCATCGTAAGAGCTATTCTTCCTGTGTCCAAATGCATGGCCCAAGTGCTGTGAGCCTTCCAGCCAGATGCGTCGACGGAATACGTTATCACTCGCGACCTGGCCACTTGCTTGCGATTCTACTGTTCCAGAATGTCCCTTTTGCCATGACTGAGTAGAGAAACCACTGTCTCGGCTCACCAAAGGTGGCTGAGATTTGTCGGAGGAGTCCGAGTGAAGGAATTTGGAGTATCCAGGGTTGAACACTTGGATGTACATCGGTGCCCCAGACCTTTTCTTATTGGTGGGGTCTCTCAAAGCTGAAGATGAAATCTCAACAATTGGAGGATCCTCAATACGGGCAACATTCCATTGAGCGCCAGATGCCGGATCTCTTCGGATGAGCGTGAGTGACGGAGGTTCACGTGGTGGGTTTTCTGATCGCCGACGTGGCAGCGGTGGTGGCTTCTCGTTTTCCTGTTGGTGTTGGGTCGAGTCAAATGAGCGCCGTGGGCTGCTATAGTCTGACGCAAGTACCCCTGGTCTTTGCGAAAAGTTTCCAGCGCTGATATTGTGGCTATTTGAGTAATTATCAATAGGAGCCAGGGTTCCTGGAACGGGTTTTCGCATTGGGGGAACAGCATTAGAAGTCCCCGGAACCGCTTTCCGCGGAACCAGCGGGACAGATGATGGATTTTGGCCTACAGCATCAGGACCTCTCAGCTCTGGAGGATCGACGAGGTAAGCATCCTCGGGCTGGTTGACGTGGACATAGTACAATGAACTTTGGATGTCTTCTGCGGTCACTACCTTCTCGCGTGGTTTCATAGGTGAAAGAAAAACATCTGGAGATGTCAGGATACATTTGACTTGCAAAATCGGGCAGCCGTACCTCTGCTACCAGGAACACGCGCAATGTACAGGACTAGCGGATCATGCCTAAAATGCGTCGGATTCCTTGGGTAAGATGGTGGGTTAAAGGCAAGTGCTGTAAGTGAAGAGAGTGATTTTGCTTCGACAACGGGCGCGGCCATGAGAGCGAACGAGGCGAGCACTGACGACGGGGAGAGAGCGTGTGCGACGGTGGCTTTGAGAGTGTTGCCGCGTGCCACAAGGACTGTTGTTGCAGTCCTGGGCAGCGTTGCCTAGGATATGTGACAAGCAGTCAACGCTCAGGTTTGTGTTTGCCTCTGTGTGGCTGTGCGGCCGCGTCTCCCCGCTAGGGACATGAGTCTTATATGAGCGTATACTTGGAGCAGAAGCGCCGCCGTCTTGGCCTATTGCTGCGCAGGGCGAGTGACAGGTGGATCGGGCTGACGCGCATCAATCCGCAGGGCTCTGCTGGCGATGCTGGTGGTGAAGGAGCCTGTAGCCATGAGCACGCGAGGTTGTTTCTGGTTAGACCTGGATTGCCGCCGCTGATTGGCCCTTGAAACCAAGGGTCCAAGCGCGGAAAGTGTCTGCGAAATCTTGGCTTCTATGCATTCAAACCTCGATTTTCGCGGCCCGCACACGACACACTCGCCCCGCCCACTGCATGCCCACCTGCCTTGCTGATACTCGCGCGCATCTAGCTGATACAAGATGGGGGACAATCTTGAGGTATGTGGCGACAGTGTTGCCTATCTATCCATCCTTCCTGCCGCTAACCGGAAGCTGTAGGAACGATTGAAGAGCCACGCGCGGGCATTCGAAGGGCTCATGTCCTTGATACCCGCAAAGGAATACTATGGAAAGGATGAGAGTATCACCAGCGTATGCACCTCTGCCTTTCTGCGCCCTCGCTCCATGCTGATATGATGTCTGCAGACGCAATGGCAAAAGAGAGGAAAGAAGCAAACCCTCGAAGAACGACAGGCCGCCAAGCGTGCGAAACTGGATCCTGCCTCCCACAAAAGCGCCAAAGATGTCATGGACGAGAACGCGCTGAAGCGGAAACGTGAGTTGGAGGGCGAGGCCGACACGGAGGTTTCCGAGGCCGAATCGTCCGATCTGGACATGGATATCACAAAGGAGAAGCCCCTAGAGGGGATCAAAAGCAAAGCAAAAAAGCAGAAAACTCAGCCTGTCGAACCAGAAGATGATGACGACGAGACTGCCGAGACAAGGGCCTTGTCAAAATCTGAAGCCAAAGCTGCGGCCAAGGCAGAGAAGCGGAGAGAGAAGAGAAAGGAGAAGCAGGAGAAGAACAAACAGAAGTTGGAGGCAAAGAAGAACAAAAAAACAGCGTTCGAAGGCCTCGCCACCGCTAAAGAGATCAAGGAGGACCAGGACCAGGACGACGCCAAGGAAGAAGAGGACGATGACGACGCGGCTGCTGACGATTTTGAAAATGAAGACGATCAAATTGAAGCATTAGACGTCAGTGGCCTTGTCGAAGAGGGTCAGTCTACAGCTCCATCTACTGCTGCCAATTCCAACTCCTCCACAGCTTCTGTCGCCTCAGCCAGCTCATCAGCCTCGTCGATACCTCAATCAACTGAAGAGGCGTCGCAAAAGAAAGCCAAGAAGCCTTACACCATTGATCCAAAAAGTCATGAAAATTTTCGCGCGCGATTGAATGCAAAGCTAGAAGCCATGCGTGCGGCACGGAAGGCTGACGGTCCAGACGGACGGCCTGCCCGGAACCGAGCAGAACTCATTGAAGCGCGGCGGAAGAAGGAGGCCGAGCGAAAAGCTGCGAAGAAAGCCCTTCGTCAAGAAGCAAAGGATGATGAAGCTCGCAGGCAAGCAGAAGAACAACTAGCACGCATAAGAGGCGGCTCGGGCTCCCCTTCCATCTTCCCTGCCAGATCACCAGAGGTTGAACGCAATTTCAATTTCGGCAATGTCGCTTGGGACGGGCAACATCTAGACTCAAATCTTTCTGGATTCTTGCAGTCAAGAAAAAAGAAGGGCAAGTCGGATAGCAAGACAGCGCTTGAAGCTGCACAGAAGAAGCAAGCCCGTATCAATGCGCTTGACGAGGATAAGCGTAAAGATATCCAAGAGAAGGAGCTATGGCTCGCTGCAAAGAAGAGAGCACAAGGAGAAAAGGTATTCGACGATGTAGGCCTTCTCAAGAAGAGTCTGAAGCGTCAGCAAAAACAAAAGGACAAGAGTACGCAGGAATGGAAAGAAAGGATTACCAATGTGGAGCAAGGCAAAGCGGCGAAGCAGAAGAAGCGCGAGGAGAACCTCAAGAAGCGTAGGGAGGAGAAGGGACAGAAGAAGGGGAAAAAGAAGGTCAAGAAGCCTGGCAAGAAAGTCAAGCGGCCAGGCTTTGAGGGCACTATGAAGGCACGATAAGCACTAGGTTGTACGAATATTGATCATGGACGGGAGGCGCCGGTAAAAAAAAAGGAGGCGGTAACGTGCGTGCTATCTAGGGAGCATTTTGGCGTTTGATACCATATCATGGAGTAAGCGGTCTTGAATATTACAATGATTTCTACAAGAACTTTGTTTTGGTGTTCATGTGCTAGCTCTCTCTATCAAAGAAAAAATGGTATACCAATTGCTCTCTCCATAACCGGCAACACGATCTGTGCATTCGCTCCACGTGAAACCTGTAATTAAGTCATTGTATATGTCAAGGGCGGTTCTTTTAGTATACTGATGATGCATTGACAAAAGAAACCCAACGCTTGGTGTTGTCGAGTAGAACCGCTCCTATAGTATTTACAACGATGTCACAGGGTCCAGAACTCCCCTTATCTGTAAGGTGCATCGGCACGAGCAGCCGCAGCAATTTCCGGCTCCCACTTGTCTCCGTTTGCCAGCAACTTCTCCTTGTTGTACAGAAGCTCCTCACGCGTCTCAGTGGCGTATTCAGCATTGGGGCCTGAGCTTCGTCAATAATTGTTCTGTAACCTTACAATTCATAGCAAACGTACCTTCCACAATGGCATCAACAGGGCAGCTCTCCTGGCACAGACCGCAGTAGATGCACTTTGTCATATCAATGTCGTAGCGCGTAGTCCTCCTGCTGCCGTCCATGCGCTCCTCAGCCTCGATTGTGATGGCCTGCGCAGGGCAAATGGCTTCGCAGAGCTTGCAAGCAATGCAACGCTCCTCACCCGTGGGGTACCGTCGCAGAGCGTGCTCGCCTCGGAAGCGGGGTGAGATGGGGCCCTTCTCGAAAGGGTAGAAGATGGTGTATCTTCCGAAACAGTCAGATTTCCATCTGTCAAAGACTACAGGCTATCCCACAGCTCGCCATCAGAGGGGCTTACTTACGCCGGTCGGAAAAACTGCTCGAGCGAGACATACATGCCACGGAACATCTCTATGAGCAGGAAGTACTTGCCGGCGCGGTCCAATGCGCCTTCGCCTTCATCCCATCGCTTGGGTTTCGGTAACCGGAAGCCTGGCGGCGGGGGTCCTGCTGGGGTGGCGGCACGGGAGAGGGTGGTAGAGAAGAAGACGACTGTGGCGGGCGAGGGGAGGCGTCCGGACGCGAAGTGTGGTGAGCGGAGCAGTGTGGCAGCTGGGCGGCTGCGTGCCAGCATTGTCAATGGCTTTGCGCTGGCCATTGTGAGCGTGGATGGGGTCGTGGGCGAGTCGTGGGTTGCTGTCGAATGCGGAGAGGTTGTCGCCAAGTTCGAAACTTGAGGTTGGTCGCTTGTAACGCCGAAGCTGCGATTGGCCAAGAACAGCAATGACGGCAACGAGGATTGGGAGGCAACTCTGAGGTCTGAGACGTGCACTAGACAATACTCCAGACTCTATATAATCGATTCTTGCTTTTTTGAAAATCACTGTTAGTGTCGTTGTTTGTTGTTTTGGAGGTCTGTTTGCTTGATGCTGCCAAAGGCTTCCTGACGGCTGACTAACGTAATGTAACTTTAGTCTGAAGTTCTAAACTCTAGTCGAGCGCCGCCATCACCACCCTCCACCGACCTCGCTATCTCGCCAACGGTACTCTGCAAATCGCTCAACATGTTCCGAACAGCACTCCTCAGGTCCGCAAGGTCCGCTGTCCGCGCCGCACCACGATGCCAGGCCGCAATGGCTCGCCCCGTTGCGCGAAGCTCCTTCGTTCAGCCAAAGCAAATCACCCCCTCCGTATACTTCCAGGCCGTACGGTGCTACGCTGCGAGCGCTGGTCTGTCACGGGACGAGGTCACTGGCAGAATAATGGATCTGCTGAAGAACTTTGACAAGGTAATGGGAATGCGCTCGAATTTTGGGCCCGTCACTAACGCAATCGCAGGTCAACGACACCTCAAAGGTAGCTTTCCCACTATGCATGGCCGTTTTGCAATGCGAATACTTATTTTTGCACAGCTCAATGCCGAGTCCCACTTCCACAACGACCTTGGTCTGGACAGCCTGGATACCGTAGAAGTGGTCATGGCAATTGAGGAGGTTAGTCGCAATGCGGGCTACATGCGAAAGAGCAAGCTGACAGTGGTGCAGGAATTCAGCATTGAGATTCCCGACAAGGAAGCTGATGCCATTCACAGCGGTATGTATTTCGGAGAATGTTGGACGGCTTTGGCATACTGATGATATCACAGTCAAGCAAGCAGTGGAGTACATCCTTGCCCAGCCCGATGGTGAGTGGCAATTTGGTACGCATCCCGTGGATTGTATGCTGACTTTGTGGTAGCGCACTAGATGATATCCAAGAAGCTGGGTACTGAGTCGGGGAAGATGGACGTGGACTTGGTGGTCGGTTCTACCGGCATTGCTATATATATGCCTCCTTGTAAAACAGTCGCCGAGGTCGGCAAAGTGTACTTCTGATAGAATTGACGCTATCCACCTCCTCATGTTATGACTACTTGCCTGTTTGTGGTGCCTAGAGGGCAGATTACCAGAGGATGGAGGCGTGTGTAACTATTCTTGGCACGCGAGACCCGGGCCTCGCCCGCTGATTACTGTGACGCGAGAACCAACCCCAACTCACGGCTTGCACAAGCGGCCTGCGATCGACCCCTTTGGACTGTTTGCATTGCATTGCAGTGGCCGGCGACTTTGGCACCCGCAGTCCTCTTACACCGAAAGTCCCACAAAACCCGGTACTGCGCATGCGCTGCCCAAGCGTCCTCATCCCTGCGTCCGTCGAGGAGCATCACCCATAATTTCCACCAGAACCCCCCACTAGTTCCACCACCACCACACCCCGATGGCTTCGAGTTCTGGTCTGACGCGCCGGAGAGGAGGCGGCGGTGGCGCCACAGGCAACGGCGAAGACGAGAGCAGCCGGGTCAGTTCGCCAGCACCCAAGCGCATCGACGATCGCACCCCCGAAACGTCCTACGAGAGCTCGGAGAATGGACACAAGATTGCATTCGACCCGCGCGACATTAGCGAGAATGTAGAAAGAAGCAAACAGCCCAAGTTGACGCTGATGGAGGAGATTATCCTCATGGGGCTCAAGGACAAGCAGGTGGGTTGATTGCACGTGGAAGGGTTGGCAAAGGGGGCAAGGCTGATGCACGAGAATAGGGATACCTCTCCTTCTGGAACGACAACATTTCGTATGCGTTGCGAGGATGCATCGTGATAGAATTGGCATTCCGAGGCCGGGTGAGCATGCAAAAGGATTCATCGCGACGACGGTTCCCGCTTGCAGACCGGGTTATTGAGGTGATTGACGACACGTTGACGGGCGAGGTCCTGTTGGACGAAGCCCTCAAGATGATGAAGTCGAGCGAGAAGATGAGTGTCAACTCATGGATTGATCTCATGAGCGGTACGTTGGGCAGCACACACGCTAGTGAAAGTCGGTGTTCCAAGACGCTGACTATTGTTGCATACAGGAGAGACATGGAACCTGATGAAGATTGGCTACCAGTTGAAACAAGTGCGCGAACGACTATGTAAAGGGCTTGTGGACAAGGGCATCCTGCGCACGGAAAAGAAGAACTTCCTGCTCTTCGACATGGCGACACATCCCGTCGCTGACGGCGGCGCAAAAGAGGAGATTCGACGCCGGGTCCGCAACGTCCTCACCAACCGCACTGTCGTCTTGCCAGGTAGCCAATTTCTTCCCGAAGAACTGGAGTTTAGGGTCTTGCGAACCATCACCATGGTCTGTGCAGCTTATGCAGCAAACGTGCTCGAGAACGCCTTGACGACGCTGGGCCATGAGGCGCGAGAGCGAGCGTTTGCCCAGGTGGACGAGCTCTTGGCAGAATACTCGCAGTGGCCTTTTGCAAAGCGGCAGGGCGGATCACAGGGTATAGGTGCCAACTTGGGCCAACTTGTTACGGACGAGGTGAATGGGTCCAAGGACAAGGAGCTTCAGCTCGAGGTAAGTGTGGCATGGTTTCGGCATGGCAGTGGGTGTGAGTGCTAATCAGTGGGCTACAGGTGGTTGCTGCGTGTTTGAGTGTTTTCACGAGGCTCGACTCACTACTCTGAGGGGGCATGGCATGTTACGTTCAACGATGTTGGGTGCACTACAGGTAGGGCGCAAGACCTCGGGGGGTCAGCGAGGCATGGCGTTGGAGGCATGTGCCGGTAGTATATCAGGAACATGCAGCCGGTAGGCTGGCAGGCAGCAACAGCGTGTGTGGGCCGGTAGGCTGGCAAGTATAGGGCCTTGTCCGTCCTTAGCGTTGATGCAGCAGCTGAGCGATCAGGAGGTAGCAGCACCGGCCGCGTCGTCTACTTTTTTTACCATTACTTCGACTTTCGGCCTCGACTTTGACTTGAACTTGGCGGTTTCTTAGACAAAATACAATATTTATTCTACACTGGACAAGGCCGAGCATTAGTGTACACGGTGGCTTTGTCGAGCACGCAAGCAGGCAGGCTTGTGCACTATTCTAGGATGCGGACTCGGAACGTACCCACCATGGCGCAGCACGTGACCGAGCGCGTGGAGTCGACGGGTAGTATGCGGGCGTGTGCACCCAGGTGTAGTAGTACGGGAGAATGGAATAAGAGGGGGGCGTTTTGGCTCGGCTCCCAGAGATGGACATATCCACAGCCGGTGGATGGCGGGAGAGCGTGGTGTCCTTGCTGTGTGGGCGTGTGTACTCTACACTACTCTGTGTGGCATGGGCTGCGTGGCTCGGCGCTTGCAAGCGGCAACGCAAACCCATCAGCGCCCTGCCTGACACACAACTCATCATCCCGAGCTTATCCACGCCCGCGACCCCTCACTAACTAAGGTACCGCAGCCAGGTGTTTCGCCGATTTAGGATTCTGCCAATACTCCGGGCCTGCCAGAGCCTTGCGCACCGCCGCTGCGCGCTCGACTGCCCGATCGGCATTTCTTGCCCTGCACAGCCAAACAGATAGGCCCAGCCAGCCCGGTGACCAGTGACGACGCGCAAATTGCATGTCCCCAGAGGTATGTTTGTGTGCCTGTGTTGATCTCCCCGCTGTCTAGTAGCGCGATGCCGTCTCTGTGAGGATATGCGTGTGTCTGTGTCGCGTTGGCCATGGCCATGGCGGGCGAGGGCAGCGGCATTGGCCCTGGCGGCGCTGTTGTTGCTGCGTCGCTCTCCCGCCCCCTTCTTGGGCCAGTCGCGACCGCCTGCGACGCCCACCGACCACCGACCCACCCAGACGTCGACGCATCTATCCATCACTCTTGCCCACGTGTATGTCGCGGCTCTAACCAGGGCAGCTTCACGCAGGTCGCTCCTGCTGCGCGCAATAGACTCTCCCCCGCCATGCTGTCTCCGCCCACAGCCGACTCCCAGACGCTCGACTCGTCCGCCGCCCAGCAGCAGCAGCAGCAGCAGCAGCACGGCGCGTCCACCACCTCCTCCTCCACCACCACCAACGGCACCTCGGGCGACGGCGCCGTCCAGCCTCCCAACGCCCCTCCCCCCAGCATCAATGGAGCAGACATCGCGTCCGCCGAGAACAACGCGATCCGAGACGGAAAACAAAAGGCCAAGGCCGTCATGGCCGCCTCTGGCCTCAACCTGACGCCCACCCACGGCGACACAGCATCGCCAGCACATACCGACGCCATCAACGGCGCGTCGCCCAGCCGAAAGCGATCGCGTTCAGGCACCCGCAAGTCGTCGCGCACGCCCTCGCGCGATGACGGGGCGCAACCCACGGGCTCGCAGAAACAGCTTCTCGATCGCTACATTGCGCGCGACCTGCTCGACAGCGTCAACAAGTACGAACGCAACAAGCACTCTGAGAAAGTATACGGCCAACTAAACGACCTACGCCACTTTTACCGCGACGAAGTCTATCCTGTGCGCCGCCAAAACCCCGGCGCAATTTTTGGCTATGGCTATGCCGGCTATGGCAACGGCGTGACTGACATTCCCCCGGACCCCAGAGACCCCCGCGCTCTTCCGCAAACAAAATTGCTATATCCCGAACACGCCAAGCGCGCTGGCCGTCGGCTCGCGCCGCAACTAAAGATTTCGAGAGACAAGATAGCACAGCAGGCGGAGCAGATTGAAGAGCTTGTGCCTGTGCGTCTGGACATTGAATTGGACAGACTGAAGCTCCGAGACACTTTTACTTGGAATCTGCACGACCGCGTCACAAACCCCCTCTTGTTCGCCCAGACGCTCGTCGAAGACTTCCAGATACCACCTGAGCTGCGCCAGAATGTAATGCAGCAGATTGATCGTGAGATCCACGAACAGGTCCAGGACTACTACCCTCACGCCTTCTTTGACGACGAGCCATTGGATCCCCACCTACCATACTCCGCATACAAGAACGATGAGATGCGGATATCCATCAAGTTGAACATCACCATTGGTCAGCACACACTCATGGACCAATTCGAATGGGAAATCAACAACCCGCTGAATGCGCCCGAGGAGTTTGCAAGACAGATGGCTGCGGACCTGTCCCTCTCCGGAGAGTTTACCACAGCCATTGCGCATTCTATAAGGGAACAATGTCAAATGTTCACAAAAAGTCTATACATTACAGGGCATCCCTTCGATGGGCGGCCTGTGGAGGATGCTGACATTCAGGACAACTTCTTGCCTTCTCCACTCCCTTCCGTCTTCCGCCCAATGCAGGCAACCAAGGACTACCAACCCTACCTGTACGAGCTGAGCAATGCAGATCTAGAGCGCGCTGAGCTCTCTATTATGCGCGAGCAGCGACGCCAGAAACGATCGGTCAATCGCCGCGGTGGCCCAGCGCTACCAGATCTCAAGGATCGACAACGGACTGTGCGCACACTGGTTGTTTCGTCAGTTTTGCCAGGAGCTGCAGAGACTATCGAGGAAAGCCAGCTTTTCAAGGCCACACGGAAAGCTAGAGAAGGCCGTCGTCGCGCTGAAGGCAGCTCGGATGAGTCTGATAGCGATGAGTCTGTACTGGAATCACCTGCTCCCGCACAGTTGACTGGAGGTACTGCCCGAACCCGTGGTATGCGTGGAGCAGCTACCGCCGCTCAAGCCGCCATGCGTTCGGCCATTGGCCGATCAGCAACACCTGAAGTGTCCACTCTCCAGCCTCATCATGAGCCGCGGACAGCCAGGTCGCTCAGATATGAAACACGCGAGGAGAGCGTGTCTGAATCCACTTCACTCATAGTCAAACTTCGCATCTCATCGGCCAAGTTGAAAGAGTGGCAGGCCAATCCAAAAGCATTCGCAAAGCCTGCTTCCACCCCAATGATGGCACCATCCCAAACGCCGGCACGAAATACACCTACCGCAAACTCAATGCCTCCGCCACCATCACCATCACCGGCTTTACCTTCTCGCTCTACTCCGACAGCGCCTCCATCTGTCGAAGCATCACCCCGCCCGCCTACAACCCCTACACCAACTGCTTCGAACGAGCAACGACAATACAGACCAGATGGTTCAATGGAAGCGCCTTGGCCTGCGCCTCCTGTCTCACAAAATGTAAGATGATCTCCCATGGCAATGTGGAAACTGTTCTGACTTTGACAAGCCTCCCCCACCCCCGTGGCTCCAACAAGGATTGCAGGATCTCCGTGACCGAAATCCCGGTGAACTCTTCGAATCCACCATGCGTTACGCAGTCATGAACGAGGCCGCGGAAGATCCCAAGACCGGCGCCGTTGCTCCCAAGCAAGTCCGGATAGATACACTTACCCCAGGTGCACCACTGCCTGCGAACCACAAAGCATACTTCCTACCTCGGATTCGATGCATGGATTGCCCTGGAAAGCTGTATAATGCAGGTCCCGAGCAGACAGTCAACAATTTCGAACTCCATCTGAAGAATCGGGCACATACGGAGAACGTACGAAAACGAACTGGTCAATGATTGGTTATAGGAATGGAAAACAATCGCGACCATGCATTCAATCTCGCGCTTTAGGCAGGTCATTTTTTTTTAGGGGTGCATCATTTTGTCCATAAGCGAGCGCATTCAGGGTATACAGTTCCATGTACAAATAACAGCTCTGATTAGGAGCATGTGGAGTTGCGCATGCAGACCGCGTGCTGTTGCTTAGGCGTTCTTATTTGCTGGCTAAAAGACCTGGAAAACCGTAGCCCCCACGTTGGATCAATTCTGTACGGCGGACACCATTGTTGAACCTGGTCTTTTTTCCTCCAAGACTATTGCTGCGTTATCTTGCTACTTGGCTTTGTTCCTAGTGGAACTGGTGGTTGTATAAGTAGGGTTGATAGTTTTCGACGTAGCGATAGAAGTAGATGCAATCGCATACTTATCTGCATCACGGAGACTTTAAAAGGACGCTTTATCAAATCCGAGAGTGGTAACATACTGCATACACTGCAATTTCTGGACCTTTTCATCTTGATCCAGAAATTGCAGTGTGTATTTTGTCGGCTCTCAAATACCCCTACACCTTGGTTAAGTTGCAAGGCGGTGCGCTGGGTTTCAGCTAAGACAAGGTGTTTTGCCGAAACGTCATGATGCTGAGAGCAACCATCTTCCTCACCACTCTACTCACCCTTATCATGAAAGTCAACGCCACATCTCTTCCCATCCGGATTCTTACCCACAACATCCGCTATGCAGCTAATCCGCCCTCAACAGGCGAGGAACCATGGTCTGCTCGTCGCCAACTGATCCTCAACGAGCTGCACTACAACACTCTGCACAACCCCGAGGCCTTTATATGTCTACAAGAAGTTCTCAATTCACAACTTACCGACATTATGTCTGGTCTCGGCAACGAATGGGCATATATCGGTGTCGGCCGAGACGATGGCAGAACCAAGGGCGAGTACAGTCCCGTCATCTACCGCAAAGCAGTCTGGGACCTAGTTGAGTGGCAGACTGTTTGGCTCAACGAAGACGGGACAGTAGGGAAAAAAGGATGGGATGCAGGTTCCGTCCGCATCATTACGATTGGTACCTTCAAACACACCCAACGCAAGAAGACACTCGTTGCAATGTGCACGCACCTGGACAATGCTGGTCCCGTTTCCCGCCGCGAGTCTGCAAAGATTATTCAAAATGTTACAGCTCAAGTCACTGCGCCCGCAAACGGGTCTTCGAGCGCTCTGCCCTTCTTCCTTGGTGGTGACCTCAATTCTGAGACGGATGATGAGGCGTATAGGATTCTTAATGCTGAGGAGTCTATCTTGCAGGACACGAGAGAGCAAGCGAGATGGGTGTATGGGCATGAGATTACGTTTACGGGGTTTGAAAATGAAGGGAAGGAGGTGATTGATTTTGTGTTTGTGGGGCCGAGAGGGCAGGGAGACTGGGCAGTTGAAGGAGCGAGTGTGTTGTCGAATCGGTTTGATGACGGTGTGTTTAATAGTGATCATAGGGCGGTTGTGGTGGATGGGTTGCTGGAGGT